GAAGGAAGGGTAATGCTTTCAACAAATGGTGCTGGGTCAACTGGATATCCATATACAGAAAAAATGAAATCTGCTTCCTACTTACGCAATACTCCAAAATAAATTCTAGGTGCATTATAAACCTTTTTTAAAAAGATTTATTTTAGTTATTTGAAAGGCAGAGTTACAGAGAGAGAGAGAGAATCTTCCATCCGCTGGTTCACTCCCCAAATGGCCACAACAGCCAGGGCCGGGCCAGGTCAAAGCCAGGAATCAGGAGCTTCATCTGGGTCTCCCATGTGGGTGCGGGGGCCCAAGCACTTAGGCTGTCTTCTGCTGTTTTCCCAGGCACATTAGCTTGGAGCTGGATTGGAAGTAGAGCAACCGGGACTTGAACCAGCACTCATTTGGAATGCCCATGCTTCAGGCAGCGGCTTAGCCCACTACACCACTGCATTGGCCCCATTGTAAACCTTAATGAGAAAAAATTTCAAAGCTGCTTTGTCCAGTACCATCTCCCTGGGAGTGACTATTGAGCAACTGAAATGTGGCTAGTCAGAACTGAGACGTTCTGTAAGAGAATTACCATGTAATACCATGAACTATATTAAAATGAGAAACTTCTTGGGGTGAGTGGACTGGTAGTTAAAATGCCAGATAGGGTGCACACATCTCATGTCAGAGTTAGAGTTCCACTCCTGCTTCCTGCTTCCTGTCATGAACCTGGGGAGGCAGCAGGTAATGGCTCAAATGGTTGAGTCCTTGCCACCCATGTGGGAGACCTGGATTGAGTTCCTGGCTCCTGGCTGCACCATGGCCCAGCCTAGGCTGCTGTGAGTGTTTGGAGTCAGTAGATGGGAACTCTGTCTGTCTCTCTGTCTCTCAAATAAAAATTTTAAAAAGATGTATTTATTAATTTGAAAGGCAGAGTTACACTTGCACTGAGCCATGGTGAGGCTTGCCTTTTTATCCCCCCACTGGGGTAAGTGGGTGGTGAAGGTGCCCTGGTGTGTCACCAATCACAAGCTCATCCTTTGGGGTGTCACCAGCCAGATGTTGGTGCCTGAGTGTGACCAATGATGTTTTAGGGATCTTGTGGGTGTGGCCAATCATGGTGCAGTAGTAAGGGTAAAGTAATGCAGTAGCCAGCTGGTTGCTTCTTCTTTTTTTTTTTTTTTTTTTTTAAGATTTATTTATTTATTTGAAAGTCAGAGTTACACAGAGAGGGAAGGAGAGGCAGAGAGAGAGGTCTTCCATCTGATGGTTCACTCCCTAGATGGTCGCAACGGTCGGAACTGCGTCAATGCAAAGCCAGGAGCCAGGAGCTTCTTCCAAGTCTCCCACGCGGGTGCAGGGGCCCAAGGATTTGGGCCATGGTCTACTGCTTTCCCAGGCCATAGCAGAGAGCTGGATTGGAGAGGAGCAGCCAGGACCAGAACCGGCGCCCATATGGGATGCCGGCGCTTCAGGCCAGGGCATTAACCCTCTGCACCACAATGCCGGCCCCGGTTGGCTTCTTCTTATCATGTAATGTCCCCCAGTCCTTCTCAGGCCTCACCACCTGTGTCTGTTCTGACAGATGGTCTAGGCAGTTCCTGGTGCTTAAGTGACCTTAGCTTAAGTAACTCCATTTTAGTTTTGCTTAGCTTAAGTAACTCCATTTTTGTTTTGCTTTTTCTGTCTCTTTTTGGGTTAGCGGTGCTCTGTAACTCTTTGGGACTCCTGTGGGATTCCCCACACCCTCTCCTCTCTACACTCTGCTCCAGAACAGCCTGGGAAACGCTCTCTGACTCTTCTAATTCTTTATAGGGCTCCAAATCTACAAAGGAGAAAAACTCCTCCCAGCTTCTGGTTAACTCCTATTTATTTTCTGGATCGCTGCAGCGAAGTTCTGACGTCCAAGGTTGCTACACTCCAGCCAGCGCTCAGGAAGTGCTGGGAGCCCTCCCTGCACTCCCCAGAATGGCAGTTCTCCTGCCCGCCTCCTCCAGATGGCTTCTTCAGGGCAAGCGCTCCTGTGACACATCTCTGTCCCCTAGTGCCTAGGGGTTGGCAGGTCCTCAGGGTTTAGGGAGAAGTAGCCTCGATGTCGCCTGTAGGTTTTCAGACATCAGAGAGACTGGGAATGGGCATTTTTGGCACAGGCCTAGGAGGGAGAGGATTCACAAGGAGGGAAGCCATGAGCACAATCAGGGAGCTTGGAATGTGGATCTGGGTAAGGCCACGGCTACTTATGAAAAAAAGAAAGAAAAATCTATAAAGGTCAGTTTGGTAAAGCCAAGAAGGCCTTGAATGCTAGTTCTTGAATCTATGGGTAGTGGGGAGCCACTGAAGGCTTTTAAGCAGGAATCTGATATGATCAGAGCACATACCAGATTCTTCAGAAAGTTCATAAAGTCTGGCACAACAGCTCATGCACCAGTTCTTGAGTCCCGGCTGCTCCACTTCTGATCCAGCTCCCCACTAAGGTGCCTGGGAAAGCAGTGCAAGATGGCCCAGGTACGTGGAGCCCTGCACCCATGTGGGAAACCCAAATGAAACTCCTGGCTCCTGACTTTGGCCTGGCCCAGCCCTGGCTGTTGCAGCCATTTGGGATGTTGGCATCACAGGCTATGGCTTAACTCACTTCACCACAATGCTGGTATTTTTATGAGCTTTTTGAAGTACTTTTGTTCATCTGGTGGGAGCAAATTGGAAGGGGAAAAATTATAAGGTGGGAAATTCAAGGGAAAACTGGCTTTGATGATCTAGTAAAAGGAATGAAAGATGTGAAACCACTTAAATTATTTCCAAGCTGTAACGTACCTCTGATAGGCAGCCAGTAGGGAACGGAGAAGAAAGGCTTGGGTTTCAGCCCACGTTAAATCCTCATGGACCCTGGGGCTGATCTCTCCCTCCTGTTGGTCACCCCCTCCTCCCAGCTGTAAACCTGGCCAGTGGGGCAATCAGAAAGGATCCAGGCTGTGAAAGCACTTGGTAAGTCGGAATGTGCTGGAGAGAGGTGAGGTTGTATGATGGGAAGAGGAGAAGGGTTTTCTGGAGGAGATGGGACAAAGGCACAGACAAGGTTTGGGAGACATTGCAAGCAAAGAGAAGAGCCTGGGCGAAAGCCTACAGGTGGTAATGCCGGTGGCACCTTGACTGACTGGGTAAAAGACTAGGGAACCAACTTGGAGAGGTGAGCGAGGGGCCGAGGGGAAACAGACGTGCAGCTCCAGCCGAGTGGTTAGGGACTTTCACTGGGCTGCGAGGGACCAACATTTCTGGGGAGAGGAGGGAGCCCTACAAGATGTTTTGGGAAGAAGACTTCAACTGCTGCGCGTGGGGTGGATGGGTGGGGGAAAGCCGAAAGGCAGGGAAGCCAGCAGGGGGACTCCTGAAATAACCCTGGCACTAAAGATCTGAAACAGGGTCCAGCTTGTGGAGCGGCAGGTTAAGACACTGCTTGGGATGCCCCATCAGCGTGTCTGGGATGGAGCCCCCGCTGTTCTGCTCATGATCCAGCTTCCTGCTAATGTGCCGGGGAAGGCAATAGGTGATGGCCCAAATGCATGGGACCCTGCCCCACTTGTGAGATTCAAGGATGGAGGTCCTGGTTCCTGGTTTTAGCCACAAACTAACTGTTGTGGGCATTTAGGGAGTGAATAAATGGATGGAAGATTCTCTCTCTCTCTCTCTCTCTCTCTCTGTCACTCTGCCCTTCAAATAAATAAATATATTTTTTTAAAAGATCTGAAACAGTAGTGGGAATGGAAAGGAAGGAATTCAATTTGGGGATGTTTGGAAAAAATAATGCACAGATCTTGGCGACAAGTCACTTATAGGGAGGAGAGGGAAATGGAATGATCCTAATGATCCTCAGGTTTCTAGCCTGGAAAATGACAATTCTAAAAAAGAATTAAAAATTTTTTAAAAGATTTATTTATTTATTTGAAAGGCAGAGCTATAGAGAAAGGAGAAACAGAGAGAGATCTTCCATCTGCTGGTTCACTACCCAAGTGTCTACACTGGTTAGGGCTGAGCCAGGCTGTAGCCAGGAGCCAGGAACTTCATCTGGGTCTCCCACACAGGTGGCAATGGCACAAGTACTTGAGCCATCCTCTGCTGCTTTCCCAGGATGGTAGCAGGGGCCTGGATCGGGAGTGGAGCAGCCAGGACGTGAACCAGCACCCACATGGGATGCCAGCATTAGGCAGTGGCTTTACCTGCCATACCACAATGCCAGTGTTTGTAATTTTATTTTTAATACAGGATATTTACTTGGAAGACACACCCAGCACTGACACAGGATAAGTGAAGTAAATACAAGTTGCTGTTACTTCAAGGTGAAGGATCAGTTAGAACTCAGCAAGGCAATCCAGACCTCTTCTCAACTCCTTCCTCTCATTACCGACACCCTGTGGTTTGCTTGGGGACAAAAATGCCAACAACAATACCAGCCACAAAGCCTCTTGAGGCAGGACTTTGGAAATAAGCAAACATCATCTTACAGTTTCATAAAACTCCAACACACCCATCACGTGCCCTATACCTCTCAAGTCGGGAACTCGTAAGGTCCAGGGAAAAGCAACTCACAAAACAACAGACTTTCCCACTCAGCTCAAAGGGCACAAGGTGGACACGAATGCAAGACTGCAGGAGAAGTAAAGTTTTTATACTCTATCAGCACAGCACTCATCAGGACAAAATTCAGTTCTTGTGGCACAGTGGGTTTAGCCACTGCATCAGGGTGCCCTCTGGCAAGGAGCTCTTCATTTTGTGCGGAAAGCCGGTACACCTGTATTTCCACTTGACAGGTAAGGACATTCAGACTGAGCGGTTAAGAGCACAGCTCAGCAACTGTGGTTCTTAAAGCAAGCAATTTAATCTCTGTAAAGCTCGCTTTTCTAAAAGTAAAAGGGGGAAAGCAATATCCACCTTGTGGGGTTTTGAAAAGCAAGCACGCAAAGACATGATCATGTTTAGCTTGCTGCCAAGCCAGCATTACTAAGTGTGCAGAAGTTTATTTATCCTGTTTCACTCCTGTCTTCCCTCCAAGCCTCCTCACAGCTCCTGTCATTGGCTTCTCGTTTTTGGCCCTCAGCAAACCCTCCCAAGTTTGGGGCACCGTCTGCCCTAACCAGTTATTTTAGGCCTCGTTCCTGCTCCGAGCCTTCTGACTGGTGGTCTCCCGTCTTTGTCTTTCTCTTTCCTTAGTTCTCATTTTCTGCCCAGCCTTTCCCTCGCTATTCTCCCCAGGCTCCTGGCTTGAGTCTGGAGGCTCAGATCCGCTAATAGTCATTTAGCTGCAGGGTCTCAGTTTTCACATCTGAAATGGGAATATTATTATCTCCTGTATGGGATTTTGCGGAGTGGAGGAGATAAGAGGGCGCAGGCGCCGTGTAGATCATACATCGCCTCAGGAAAGTTCTCGGCCGGCGGCTCAGCTCCACTCCCTTTTATTCTCTTCCGCCCTTTCCAGTCCGGGACCATTGTGGAATTAAGAGATTTTTTTGAATTGAATGTTAGGGCATCTCCCCAATCGAGTGCAGAGCTGTTGGTTGTTCCCGCCTTCCACGACTAAACGAGCCAATCAGATCGCTGGGAGGTTGGCGAGGTACCGCCCCTTGGCGCCCACCTTTAATAGAACTTGAACTTTTCGCCGTCCCTGCAACCAGCCTCGTCTTGCCCCGCATCCCAGCTTCAGGCCCCAGGAGGGTGCTTCCTTTTCCTCGTCCCTGTTCCCCAAATCCTGGTATCAAACGGGTTGGACGGCGGCAACCGGAAGTGTGCACCAACGTGTCGGGTCCCCCTCGAAAAGACACCGGAAGTAATCGTTGGTAGAGAAGGATTCCGCCAGCCTCGCCATGGCGGCGATTCCCCCAGACTCCTGGCAGCCGCCCAACGTTTACTTGGAGACCAGGTGAGGGGCGGCTGGTCCCTGGGGCTGGGCTGGCGGAGGCGACACGGAGCGCGGGTCTCGCCACGGGGCGCGCTGTTCGAGAATGCGGCCTCGTGGGGCGCGGCCGTGAGGGCCCCCTGAGGGCTGCCCCGCCGCCCGCGTCCGAGCCCCGCACCGACTGGCGCGGGGGTCTCACAGACAGCTGCCCGATGTCCTCCTCCCTTTACTCCATTCCTTGCTTCGTCCGTCCGTTCATTCATTCATTCATTCATTCAGCCGGCGTAGGCGCCCGCACGCCAGCCACGCCGAATCTGGAGTCTGGGGATACAGAGCTGGGTAGCATACAGGTCTCTGCTTTAAACGCAGGCGCCGTCACGTGTAGTGGTGTTATTTCTTCTCCTCCCCTCCGATTTCGGCAGCCTCGGTGCCAGAACTGACCGATTCCATGGCTTGAGCAGAGCCACGCAGCTAACGGCTGAGGGGGACCTTGTTTGGCTCCTTGGTCAGTCGGCCTCGCGGGCTCCGGTTTTCAGCCGCATGCATTCCCCTTGCCCCTTTGGGAAAACTCAAAGTGCTCTTTCCAAAGTGGAGCCCGGGATCCTGCTCGGAAACCTTCAATCACTTCCTGCTGCGCTAACAGTGTGAAGTGAAAACCTAGCGTGGCCCGCAAGCTGCTTCCCGCGTGTTCGCTCCGTGCCTGCAGTTCCCGCAGCCGCCGCCAGGGGCCAGCCCAGGCCTCCCTGCCTGTTTCTCCGTCGGGTCCCCTGTATTTGCTCCCTGGCCGGATTCTACCTCAGGCCCCGACCTGTCGGCTGGGAACTCCCTTGTTAGTATTTTTTTTATTAAAAAATAAATTGAAATTTACACCGAAGCTGTGGAAAAGTATGTAGAGGAAGAAGTGAAAGTTACCTCTCTTTGAACGCACTGTTTGAACAGCAGTTTGTCAGATGCCCGTCTGGGTCTTTCTAGTTCGTATTTTGCTCATTTCCTCTTTCAAGGACATTTAAAATCGCATCTCCCTTTTTTTTGTGCTGTGACAAGCACTGAAATGAACATCCTTGCATGTTGTATCCTTCGGCACTTTGCTACCTGTCCATAGCGAATAGATACTTAGAAGTTGAAGTTGCTGAGATGTGCACATTTCAGAACTGTAGCAGAGCTTCCTGATTGTCATTCCCAAAGGTTATTTCCACTGTTTAAAAAAATAACTGAGCCGGTGCTGTGGGGTAGTAAGTTCAAGTCCCAGCTGCTCCACCTCAGATCCATCTCCCTGCTAATGCACCTGGGAAAGCAGAAGATGGCCCAAGTGCTTGGGCCCCCATACCCACATGGGAGACGCGGAGGAGGCTCCTGGCTTGGGACAGGCCCGGCTCCGGCTGTTGCAACCATCTGAGGAGTGAACCAGAGCATCAAAGATCTCTGTTTCTCTCTCTCTCTTTGTAACTCTTTTTTTTTTTTAATGCCTTTTTCATCTTTTTTATTTTTAAAGATTTATTTATTGACTTGAAAGGCAGAGTTACAGTGAGTGGTCCTCCATCTGCTTGTTTACTCCCCAGATAGCTGCAGTGGCCAGAGCTGCGCCGATCCAAAGCCAGGAGCCAGGATCTTCTTCCGGGTCTCCCACGCAGGTGCAGGGGCCCAAGGACTTGGGCCATCTTCTACTGCTTTCCCAGACCATAGCAGAGAGCTGGATCGGAAGTGGAGCAGCTGGGACTTGAACCAGTGCCCACATGGGATGCTGGCACTGCAGGTGGCAGCTTTACCTGCTAGCCCCGTTTAAAAAGATTTACTTATTTATTTGAAAGGCAAAGAGAGGGGAAGACACAACAAGAGATCTTCCATCTAGTGGTTCACTTTCCAAATGGCCACAGCAGCTAGGGCTAGGGTCAGGCCGAAGCCAGGAGCCTGACTCCATCCCTGTCTCCCACACGGGGAGGGGGTGGTGGCAGCTGCTTTCCCAAGAGCATTAATGGGGAGATTAGCTGGATCGGAAGTGGAGCCTCCAGGACCAGAACTGGCACTCATGGATGCTGATGTCTCAGGTTAGCCCACTTGCTACAATACTGGCTCCTAATTTAGGGTTTCTAAGTACTCGTTTCAGATGATCAGTGATTTATATCTAAGGTATTAGAATTTTGAGTTGTCAATGTATATGTTATTTTGCCTAAAAGAAGTACCAAAAGCCCTTGTGTGTTTTACTCAGAGGAGGTAATTGGTGTTTATGTTACTTGCATCATGTTGGTTTGTTGTTGCTTGTGGGTTTTGTTGTTTGGTTTTTGACTGAGCATGTAGTCAGTGGTTAGGTTGAACATCAACAGTCCTGGAGCACTCCCATAAATGGTCCTGTCTGCCGTGACCCTGACCTTGACCGGAGCTGTGCTTTCCTCTCCCTCTGCAGCATGGGCATCATTGTGCTGGAGCTGTACTGGAAGCATGCTCCAAAGACCTGCAAGAACTTTGCTGAGTTGGCTCGCCGAGGTTACTACAATGGCACCAAGTTTCACAGAATCATCAAAGACTTCATGATCCAGGGGGGTGACCCAACGGGCACAGGTAAGATAAGCTAACTGGCGTCTCACCCCATTATAACCGAATGACAAGGCAGCGAGAGCTCTCTTTTCCACCTGCTGGGAACTGGGTTGGTTGATGCTGGTGACAATTCCTGCTTTCCCCAAATGCAGTTGTGAAATTGGTCTGAGGCCAGCGCCGTGGCTCACTAGGCTGATCCTCCGCCTGCGGTGCCGGCACACCAGGTTCTAGTCCCTGTCGGGGCGCTGGATTCTGTCCCAGTTGCTCCTCTTCCAGTCCAGCTCTCTGCTGTGGCCCGGGAGTGCAGTTGAGGATGGCCCAAGTGCTTGGGCCCTGCATCCACGTGGGAGACCAGGAGGAGCACCTGGCTCCTGGCTTCGGATCAGCATGGTGCACTGGCCGCAGCGTGCCAGCCGCGGCGGCCACTGGGGGGTGAACCAATGGAAAAGGAAGACCTTTGTGTCTCTCTCTCTCTCACTTTCCACTCTGCCTGTCAAAAAAGAAAAAGGAAAAAAAAGAAAGAAAGAAAGAGAGAGAGAGAGAGAGAAAGAAATTGGTCTGAAACCAGTTTTGACTCCTGGGCTTGATGGAACTTCTCCCAACTTCCGTGTATTACTTGCCAAGAGCATATACCATTTGCCTGATTGTAGTGATGCATAGAGTAGTCTGATCACAATCAGAAGTAAGAGACATTCACAGTGTTTTTGAGAAGAATGAACTATTGGGTTCTTTTGTGTGTGTGTGTGTGTGTGTGTGTGTGTGTTTATTTTTTTCAGAGAGAAAGGCCTTCCTTCTGTTGGTTCACCCCCCAAATGGCCACTATGGCCGGCGTGCTGTGCCAATCCGAAGCCAGGAGCCAGGTGCTTCTCCTGGTCTCCCATGCGGTTGCAGGGCCCAAGCACTTGGGCCATCCTCCACTGCCCTCCTGGGCCACAGCAGAGAGCTGGCCTGGAAGAGGGGCAACTGGGACAGAACTAGCGCCCCTACTGGGACTAGAACCCGGGATGCTGGCGCCGCAGGCGGAGGATTAGCCTACCGAGCCACGGCACTGGCCAAATATTGGGTTCTTTCACTGATTTTTTTAACTTAACAAGTTTTGAGCACCTGCTTTGTGTCAGATACTTTTCTAAACTCTAAGGATATAGCCGAGAACAAGGACACAAAGTTCCTTCTCTCAATCAACCAGGAGCAGGGTGGGGGATGCAGTTTCAGTAGGTCAGTTGGGGAAGTCCTCTGGCAGATGTTGTTAGAGCGGAGATCCAAGTGCAGGAAGGGGCTGAACCTTGTGACTGGGGGAGAGCGTTCTCCATGGGAGAAGTGCAGACACGGGGCCCTGAGGCAGGAGCCTGGGGAGGAGGTCCTGTAGACGCTGGGCAGCAAGCTCTGAGTAAGATGGAAGCCTTTGGAGAGTTAGGAGCTAAGGAGGAGCACGTGACCTATGCTCTAAAATGATCACTGCCTGCTGTCTGGGGAACAGATCCAGGGGCAAGAATGGGAGCTGGCAACCAGCTAGAAGTCTGCTGTCATCATCCAGCCCAGAAGTCCGGGGCTGGCTTAGGCTGATAACAGACAAGGTGGTGAGCAGTGACTGCTACTCAGGATCTGTTTTGTAGAGACAGAGCCATGGGATCTCTTGACCGCTGGGGTGGGCAGTGTGGGAGGAGGAGATGGTCAAAGATGACTTCAGAGTTTCTGATGTGACTACATGGACATGGGAAGGCTGAGAGAGGAGCAGGTTTGGAGAGGAAAGATAGGAATTTGGTCTTGCGTGTGTTGTGTTTCAGTAGATAGGTTGAGTAAGTGCATAATTGGGTATGAACGTGGAATTCAAGGGAAGGTCTGGCATGGAGACATAAATTGGGGAGTTATTGGCAGTGAGGTGGGATTTCTTAGTGAAACTGGTAGATCACTTAGCCATTTCGGGGGCCCTTGCTTCTCTGTTCATTCCTACCCTGGTCTAAACAAGCTTGTTTTTTTTCATGTTGGAGTTTCTTTAAGTCTTATGCTTTTTTTTTAGTCTCAGTTGATTCATTACTTACTCTTTATAACCAAAACACTCAATTTTTTCAGTGTATAAAGACACATCTCAAAATACAGACTAAGCTGGCATTGTGGGTACAGTGGTTAAGCTGCTGCTTGCAACATCTGTATCCCATATCAGGGTGCAGGCTCAAGGCCCAGCTTCTCTGCTTCCGATCCAGCTCCCTGCTAATGCGCCTGGGAAGACTGAAGATGGCCCAAGTGCTAGGGGCTCTGCCACCCGAGTGGGAGACCCATATGGCTCCTGGCTTTAGACTGGAAGACCTGGCCATTGTGGCCATTTGGGGAGTGAACCAGCAGATGGAAGATCTCTCACTGTGTATGTCTCTCCCTCCCACTCTGTCATGCTTTCAAATAAATAAATCTTTTTAAAAATGCTTTTTGGGTTGGCATTATGGTGCAGCATCCTATATTGGAGTGTTAATGTTCAAGATACAGCTACTCGGGGCCAGCTCCGTGGCACAGTAGGTTAATCCTCTGTCTGCGGCACCAGCATCCCATATGGGCTCCGGTTCTAGAGGCTACTCCTCTTCCAGTCCAGCTCTGCTATTTCCTGGGAAAGCAGTGGAAGATGACCCAGGTCCTTAGGCCCCTGCACCCGCATGGGAGACCAGGAAGAAACACCTGGCTCCTGGCTTCAGATCAGCATAGCTCCGGCTGTTGCAGCCATCTGGGGAGTGAACCAACGGACAGAAAACCTTTCTCTTTCTCTCCCTCTCACTGTCTGTAACTCAACCCCTCAAATAAATACATAAAATATTAAAACAAAAAAGATATGGCTGTTCCACTTATGATCCAGTTTCCTGCTAATGTGCATGGGAAGGCAGTGGATGATGGCCCAAATACTTGGTCCCCTGCCACCTATATGGGAGACCCAGATAGAGTTCCTGGCATCTGGCTTGAGCCTGACCCAGACCTCTTGCAGGGATTTGGGGAGTGAACCAGAGAAGGAAGATATCTCTCTTTCTCTGCCCCCCCCCCCCCGCCCCCACTCCCATCCCCTCTCTCCTCTCCCTCTATTCTTCCTTTCTCCATTATTCTGTCTTTCAAATAAATATTGTAAAAAATATAGCATATATAAGAAAGTAGAAAAAAAGGGGGGAATCATTCATATGCACAGCTCCTAAAGATTTCTTACCACCATTAGCCAATCCCAGCATTCCACCTCACAGAAGTGTGCAGTGTTAACTGTTGGTTGCCATCATTCTAGACATTTTTCTTTTTCTTTTCAGATATCAGTTAAGGATGGATGGATGATTAACTAGCTAAATGGAAATACCTTGAAAAGAATAGGATATCTATGCATGATATTGTTTTCAAAATAGAGTATTACAGTTACTTTTGTATATATTTAACAGAAAAATGGACTTCCTCCTATGAAAGAGAGAGTACAGTTGACTCTCCCTATCCGTGAGTCCTGCTTTTGTGAACTCAGTCACCCACAGATTGGGTCTAGTGTTGTGATACAGCATGTAAGCTGCCCCTCAGGATGCCCACATCCCATAGGAGAGTGCCAGTTTAGTCCTAGATCCTCCACTTTTGAAGATTTATTTATTTATTTGAAAGGCACCGTTACAGAGAGGCAGAGAGAGAGAGAGAGGTCTTCCATCTGCTGGTTCACTCCTCAGATGGCCACAATGGCCAGAGCTGTGCCGATCCAAAGCCAGGAGCCAGGAGCTTCTTCCAGGTTTCCCACGCGGGTGCAGGGGCCCAAGAACTTGGGCCATCTTCTACTGCTTTCCCAGGCCATAGCAGAGAGCTGGATTGGAGAGGAGCAGCCGAGACTTGAACCATCACCCATATGAGATGCCAGCACTGCAGGTGGTGGCTTTACCCACTACGCCACAACATCGGCCCCTAGATCTTCCACTTCTAATCCAGCTTCCTGCTAATACGCACCCTGGGAGGCAGCAGATGATGGCTCAAATGGTTGAGCTCCTGCCACCCCCATGGGAGACCCAGATTGAATTTGGGGCTCCTGGCTTCATCCTGGCTCAGCCCTAGCTGTTAGAGGTATTTGCAGAGTGAACCCATGAATGGAAGCTCTCAGTCTCTCTCTATTGCTCTGCCTTTCAAGTAGATGAGAACTGATAAACTATGGATCAAAAATCCCCCCAATTATGTCTATACCAAGAACATGTACAGTATTGTCCCTTGTCATTCCCTAAATAATAAATGTAGCAACTACTTACATAGCATTTACCTCGCATTCTAAGTAAGAGATCATGTGAAGGACATGGGAGGATGTGTGTGGATTAAATGCAAACTATACCATTTTCTGTAGCATCTGGAGTGTGGGACAGAGTAGAAGGAACCAAACCCCACAGACTCCCAGGGACAGCTGTGCTGAGATTCTACCCGTTCTTAGACTCCCTCCTCCCTAAATTGTGTTGGTAGTTCTATTTTTTCCTGTCATATATTTATGATTCCTTCAGCTATGGTGTGGGTTCAGTGTTTCACTGACTTCAGTACCCAGCACTTGGCTTTTACTTTGTAAGTGCTAGGGGGCAGGATTGCTTGTCTTATTTATTTATTTTTCAATTTATTTAAAAGGCAGAGAGATAATGAAATATCTTCCATATACTGATTCATCCTGCCTGCAACAGCTAGGGCTGGGCCAGGCCAAAGCCGGGAGCTCAATCCAGGTCTCCCACGTGCATAGCAGGGACCCACGTACTTGAGCCATTACCTGTTGCCCTCCAGGTAAGCATTAGCAGGAGGCTGGATTGGAAGTTCAGGAGCTGGGAATCAGAAACTGGCACCCTTAATATGACGCGGGCATCCCAAATGGCGACTTAGCCACTGAGCCAATTGCCTGGCCCTGTCTGGCGGTTTTCACTGCAAGGTTTGGAGGGAGTTATATTTTTGAACCCATTCTTGTTTGAGAACTTTTTTCTGTTGTCTTTATTCTTGGGAAGTACCACGACTATGTATAATATTATTCCTGGGCCACATACATTCCCTCAGATCCTTTTGAACAATTC